AGGCCGGGCATGGTGGCTCCCGCCTGAAATCCCAGCACTCTGGGAGGCCGGGCATGGTGGCTCACGCCTGTAATCCCAGCACTCTAGGAGTGGAGGAGCAAGGACTGCTTGAGCTCAGGAGTTTGAAACCAGCCTGAGCAAAAGTAAGACTCGTTTCTACTAAAAATAGAAAAACTGAGGCAACAGCATAGCTTGAACCTAAGAGCTGGAGGTTGCTGTGAGCTATGAGGATGCCATAGCACTGTACCCAGGGTGACAGCTTGAGACTGTCTCAAAAAAAAGAGTATGTGTGACTAATATTCAGGAAAGGAAGAAGGAGAAAAGAATGTGGAGTTGGAATTTGGGGTATTTTTAAACATTTAATCTACTAATAAAATGAAACAAAACTTTTATATTTGTTTATCTTATTGGTAGGTACACAGGTATCTGATTTTTCTATACTTTTCTATATTATGTTTTTTAAAAAACCTTCTGAAAAACAAACAAAAAATGCTACCCTAAAGTCTTTTTTTTTTTTTTTTGAGATAGAGCCTCAAGCTGTCACCCTGGGTAGAGTGCTGTGGCATCACAGCTCACAGCAACCTCCAACTTCTGGGCTCAAGCGAGTCTCCTGCCTCTACCTCCCGAGTAGCTGGGACCACAGGCGCCTGCCACAACACCCAGCTATTTTTTGGTTGCAGCCGTCCTTGTTGTTTGGCAGGCCCAGGCCGGATTCGAACCCACCGCCTTGGGTGTATGTGCCTGGTACCTTAGCCGCTTGAGCCACAGGCACGGAGCCTACCCTAAAGTATTTTCAGGAGCTATTTGCCGTTAATCACCTATTTCTACCTTCCCAAAGAACAGGAAAAATAGATGCTTCAGTAACTCTAGAATTCAAAACATAAATGATACATTAATTGAAAATATAACATCAAGAGAGTTTAGGGCTGATAAAAACAAGCTTACTATTTTGGAAAAAAATTTAACTAAGAACCAGCTCAGGAGAGGGGAAGAGTGAAGGGGATGGGTGTGCTCCCACTTACTGGACATGCTATTAGGGTATATGGGGGCAAGACACAATTATAAGAGGGATTCTACCTAAATAGTGCAAACATTGTAACCTAATTCTTTGTATTCTCAAATTAAACTCAAACAGTAATTTAAAAATAAATAAATAAAAGCCCTCAAGCCCTATTTTGGTTTTGTTTTTTTTTTGAGACAGAGTCTTACTTTGTCACCCTCAGTAGAGTGATATAATGTCACAGCTCACAGTAACCTCCAGTTCTTGGGCTTAGGCGATTCTCTTGCATCAGCCTCCCAAGGAGCTGAGACCACAGGCCACCACAACACCTGGCTATTTTTTGTTGCAGTTTAGCCGGGGCCGGGTTTGAACCTGCCACACTCGGTATATGAGGCTGGCACCCTACTCACTGAGCCACCCTATTTTGGCTTTTCTTTAAAATGTAAAACCAAAACAAAATCACTATGTACCTCACAAATATGTATAACTGTTGTCTATTTTAAAAAATAAAATGGGCTCGGCGCCTATAGCTCAACGGGCTAGGGCACCAGCCACGTACACCTAAGGTGGCGGGTTCAAATCCCCAGCCAGGACCCGCCAAACAACAATGACGGCTGCAACCAAAAAATAGCCGGGCGTTGTGGTGGGCGCCTGTAGTCCCAGCTACTTGGGAGGCAGAGGCAGGAGACTCGCTTGAGCCCAGGAGTTGGAGGTTGCTGTGAGCTGTAATGCCACGGCACTCTGCCCAGGGGGACAGCTTGAGGCTCTGTCTCAAAAAAATAAATAAATAAATAAAATAAAATGAATAAAAATAAAGATAAAATGTGATAACATTTTACATAACCTTCTCCTCCCGCCACATATAGAAAAGATAGAGGATTTTACAACTCCTGTGGAAAAGGAGACATGTAAAAATAGTTCTCATGCCAGCAGCATCATTTCTTAAATTCTGCTCACTTAATTGAAATTTAAATAAATGAAAAAATTTATACCACTGTATAATAGGATCCATTAAACTTATGTACATATATAAATATAAAAATTAAATCCAGAAGTTCAAATAATACTTCAAAGTTTTTTTTTCACTTGATTTTGATTCTATTCTTCTCTCCACCCTCATGAAGTCACCAGACAATCTGAGTATTACACTAGTAATATAAGTTGATGAAAACATTAAATGGGAAAAAAAGATTACAGGAAAGTAGAAAAGTGAGACCAAAAGGAAAAGGCAGGTGAATGGACTGAAAGAAAATGAAAAAGTTTCAAAATCCATGGCCTAGCCTCAGTGTCACGTCATACAACTCCTATAAGGCAGGGCACCTGTGAGCACTTAGCACTCTGAGAGGCCGAGGTGGGTGGATCATCTGAACTCACAGGTTCGAGACCAGCCTGAGCCAGAGCGAGACCTCGTGTCTAAAAACAGCTGGGTGTTGTGGCGGGTGCCTGTAGGCTGAGCAAAGAGAATCGCTTGAGCCCAAGAGTTTGAGGTTGCTGTGAGCTGTGATGCCATGGCACTCTACCAAGGGCGACATAGTGAGACTGTCTAAAAATAAATAAATAAATAAAGCCCCGGTAAAAGACCTCAGAATACATAGCAAGAGGATAGAAGAGAACATAGTAAGAACACTCGTGTACTGAGATAAAGGGTGCAGGATACATTTGGCACAAATGCTGCAGGTTTGAAGATGAAAACTGCAGACAAGTTCCAGACTGGGATTACGTAAACACAGCCTCATAAGCAGGCCTAATTGTGGCAACCAACCAAATAATGATCATTTGATTAAAACACTTATTTCTTCTACTGCTTTAATGCTTTTGACATGAAATTTCCTTTAATCCTTTTCAACATGAAATTATCACTCAGAATAAGATGACAGAAAATATAAAGGCAACTGCTTTTTATCAACACTGCACTTTTACCTGAATCATGCATTCAAACTGGTACATACAAAGACCCAATTCTGCCATACTTGGTTTAAAAAGTTCACGAAGTCTATAATCTTGCATTAATTTAACAAATACACAAAAAGCTTCTTCCTCTGGCATCTACATTAAGAGAAAAGAATAACAAAGGTTAATATTCTGTAATATATAAATAAAACTGTAGAGGGTCTGACAATTAAGTTCATGAACTCATCCTAGCGGAGTATCACTACAGTCACCTTTGAAACACTCCTCTTGGGAGCTATGTGCTGATCCCAACGCCTAGTCTACTTACTCTCCAAAGCAATTTTGGAATTGTTTTTCTAGAATAACCATTAGAGGCTGTCATTGTACGAGGTCTGACAATAAAGTTCACAGACCTGTCACTATGTACTTACCTTGACAACACTGTACAAACAACTCAGTAAGGTTTTATAACCTCAGTATATGGTATATCAGTGTCTCAGAGCTGTGTTCATGTGGACATGTGGCAGTGTCTTATTGAGTAGTGTTTATTATTGATTATTGTTGTGTTTAAACCAAGTACCTGTTTAGCCAGAAATACTGATTTGAATGGCATATGGTAAATGTTAAGAGCAATGGACTAATAACCAGGACATTCTAGTCTCCTATCACCAAGAATGAGAAGGCAGGCATACCTAATAACCTCAGAGATAAACTGCCTCAGTTTGTCTAATTTATGAATTCAACCAACCAATACTGACTTACAACCAGGTATACACTAGCAAACAAAATAAATACCATGTCTGCTCTCAAGGAGCATGAACTTTCTAGTGGAGGGATACAGACAATACATGGAATAAATTAACTAATATACCTGTGCATGTCAGATGGAAATGAGTGCTATAGAAATAAAACCAAGTAGGGTAACAGGAATGCTGGGGAGATGCACGTACATGGCTATTTATATAGGTCAGGGATGGCCCCTTGATAAGGTAACATTTGAGCAAACTCCTGAAGAAGATAAGGGAGTATCTGAGGAAAGAACAGAGAAGAATACACAGGTCCTAAGATAACATGGTGCTTTTTATGCCTAAGGAACAAGAGACAGGGACTACAGAGTGAAGCTTACTATAAGTGAAGCTTAGGTGATGGAGGAAACACAACAGGGAACCAAAGCACAAAGGGCTGTAGAGTCACTGTAAGGTCTTTGACTTTTACTGTTAAGTGAAATTGGAAGCTTTTCAAGGATTCTGAGCAAAAGCGATATGATACAGCATTAAGTGTTAAAAGAACTTCTGGGCTCAGTGCCCATAGCACAGTGGTTATGGCACCAGGCACATATACCATGGCGGGAGGGATTGAAACCAGCCCGGGCCAGCTACACAACAATGACAACTGCAACAAAAAAATAGCCGGATGTTGGCTCAGCACCTGTGGCTCAAGCGGCTAAGGCGCCAGCCACATACACCTAAGGTGGCGGGTTCGAATCCCCACCCCGGGCCCGCCAAACAACAATGGTGGCTGCAACCAAAAAATGGCCAGGCGTTGTGGCGGGCGCCTGTAGTCCCAGCTACTTGGGAGGCTGAGGCAGGAGACTCGCTTGAGCCCAGGAGTTGGAAGTTGCTGTGAGCGTGATGCCATGGCACTCTACCCAGGGGGATAGCTTGAGGCTCTGTCTCAAAAAAAAAAAAATAGCCGGATGTTGTGGTGGGCACCTGTAGTCCTAGCTACTTGGGAGGCTGAGGCAAGAGAATCGCTTAAGCCCGAGAGTCTGAGGTTGCTGTGAGCTGTGATTGTGCAGCACTCTACCAAGGGCGAAATAGTGAGACTCTCAAAAAAGAACTTCTAAAGTTACGTGTTCAACTTATCTGGTATCAGGGTTTCAAGGTACTAATTCCACATTTTATGTGTAAATCACTAGGAAATCATAGCAAATAAGATAATGAATATGAAAGCTCTATAAGGAGCTACAATGATATTTGGAATATTTAAGCCAATATCCAAATTGTTAAGCCATTTTTCTCAAAATAGTAAAATTTGCTAATTCTCATTCACTCACATTATACCAGTGTGTTTCAAAAGGGAAAACTCCAAGGGATCTCCACACATACTTGTTACTAAAGAATGTTACTAATAACAATACATTTTTACTAGCCCGACACAGTCATGGACAGCAAGCAAGAGTTTCTTGGCAAAACCTGTACTTCTTCCTTCTTCCCAAACACACAGCCACACTTCTGCCCTGGGGTTCCATCCCTGTTAATCCTATCAAGCCCTACAGCTCCACTGATTTATGCCAGTCACTGAGAGAAGCCCTAGATCCCAAAACTCTCATCCTATTTTTCCATCATTCCTCTATCCACCCCGTTTCAAATCTCCCCTAAGCCTTTCCACAACACTTCTTGGAACTCATATTCTGCCATCAATAAGATAGTCTACTTATATCCTAATGTCCTTCCTAAATCTGGCTCTCTCCTAAGAATATTCGACACTGAAACCTGGGTCTCCCCACAGGATGGTTGTTTTCTCTCCCAAAGCACTGAAAGAGGCCAGGGGTTGTTAGTAAGATACATGTCCTCAGGCTATTTCATCTTTGTGCAAATACCATACAGTGTTACTTACCAGACCTGCTTGGTGGAGCCCACTACACACTCCTAGGCTACAAACCTGTACGGCATGTTATTGCACTGAATATTGTAGGCAACTGTAACATAATTCCAACTATTTATGTATCTAAACATATGGAAACATAGAAAAGGTACAGTAAAAATATGGTATTATAATCTTAGGGGCCACCATCACACAGGTGGTCCTTTGTTGAGCAAATGTCATCATGCAGTATGTGATTATAATTTCCCTTTTTGGTCTCACAAGATTTTCTTCTCTTCTGGACATCTCAATATTAATATTACGGGAAATGGGGGAGGTTTTTTTTTTTTAATGGTGATATTTTAAAAACATAAGTTGGGGTAATCTGACAAGTCCTTACCTCCATGACAAATCAAATTCCTGTGTAAATTTCCAAAGATGTTATATAAATAAGATTTTGACACCAATAGTTTAATCAAGTAAGTCCTCCGTGGCTGAGAGAAGATACTCATTAAATGTTGACAGCAAGATTTTAAAATACTGTTAACTAAAGTTACAGGCTTTAGTAGAATGTTATAGTACAAATGTCTGTATCAAGAAGTTGAAATTTTATTTGGTGGTGAAAAATCAAAGATATCATAATACGTTATTATTTCAACACTTTTACTCTTTTTTTTCTTTTTGGGACAGCGTATCACTCTGTTGTCCAAGTTAGAGTACAGTGGGTCATCATAGCTCACTATAACCTCAAACTCCAGACCTCAAGCAAACCTCCCACCTCAGCCTCCCAAAGTGCTTGGATTACACATGTGAGCCATCATACCCTGCCCATGATTTCAATCTTTTAAAGTGAAAACTATAATAAGAACAAAGATAATTTTTAAATTCTCCAATCCACCTTTAATAAAGAACTTAATTGAACATTTAATACATGCACTAACTTACCTGCATAAGCAATAATCCAACTATAAAAGCACTTCCTTGACAGTAACCAACCTCACGATCCACTAAAGAATATGCCTAAAAAAGTAAAAAATGTTGTTCAAAATACTTCAACATGGTAAATTATACCTTCCTTCTCCAAAAGCCTGAAATTGGTGAGATAGGTAGATTAAAAGACCATTTAATTTTTAGAAAAGCTTTTGCTTGATTGTTATAGATATTATCTTATAAATATTTAAAAGGCCATTGTTTTATTACATAAATTTTTCTTTGGACAATTTCCAATTAGAAACTGGCAGCTCCTATGACCAAAAAAATTAAGAAATTTGTACACAGGAAGACAATAGGGCTTAAAAATCAAGTAAAATTTATATCTATTTATATCTAATAGAGATAAAACTAGAGTAGGTTAAGGCAAAGGACTAGCAAAATTAAAATAGTTTAACAAGCAATCACAAAAGTGGCTAGAAGAAATGAAACTATGGGAAGAAAACATTACAATGGTACACCTTACCTTTGTAAGACATAAGTGTAGGGGATAATCAACTTTTAACAGCACTGGCCATGGCAAGCAGAGAAATTTGCTGAGTGTATGCATGCAGCCATGATAAGAGAAACCCGCATTCCAGGTTTTGAACCTCGCATATGGTAAATTATCCATTTTCACAGTGGACCTCTCTATGGTCTATGATTTTTCTTTTTTTTTTTTTGAGACAGAGTCTCACTATGTCTCACCTTGGGTAGAGTGTCATGGTGTCACAGCTCATATCAACCTCAAACTCCTGGGCTTAAGCGATTCTCTCACCTCAGCCTCCCAAGTAGCTGGGACTACAGGTGCCCACCACATCGCCCGGCTATTTTTTGGTTGCAGATGTCATTGTTGTTTGGCAGGCCTGGGCTAGGTTCGAACCCACCAGCTCCAGTGTATATGGCCAGAACCCTAGCTGCTGAGCTATAGGTGTCAAGCCTGGTCTATGACTTATAAGTTATTTCATTTTTATCAACTAATGCTGAATAATGTGATAAAATTTTCTAGCAAGTTCTCTAAACTTGTTAATAATCAGAATTAAAACAAAAATTATGCAAAACCAATTTTATTGTCAAAGCAACTGATAATTGTGATAGGAATTCATGCTTCATTATAAAAAATGTATAATTTCAACCTTCTGAGAATTCATTTCATTTCAGAAAATGAATAATAAAACTTACCTTCATTACATTAAATAAAACCTCCTGCCCAAGGCTATCTTTTTCCTTAAAAAAATTGTGTTCAGGATAAGTTCTAGCAATGTCCCTTCGGATTAATTTTTCACAAGGTGAGGTCATTTTCAGGAGTTCTGAATATTGATCCTTAATTGGCATGCTTTGCGCGCTGCATAAAAGTTGCCAAACTATTGCTCTAAAGTGGTGGGGTATCCCTTTACGAACAAGTTCCTAAAAATAAAAATAAAAATTTTAAATAAATTTAGTCTCCTATCTTACAAGCCAAAAGAGAGTTATTGGGGGTTGGAATGAAGTGGAAGACTTTATCAAATTTATAATCCACAAAGCTAATTTTTATAATAAGACTAAGGAACCATTTAACCAAGGCTAAGATTTGGCCCTTGAGTGTTTCTTGTTCTGGTTTGGGGGCCCATAAATAAATTCTGGTTATTTCATGCAGAATGTGGCCACCAATGATATTAAGGACTTGCAAACCTGTACAGAACTATGAATGGTGACAGGGTACTTATTATGTTTCAAGGGCTATTGAAGGCAAAAAAGAAAAATACTGATAATTCAAGAATGTAGAATGTCATAACTTCACTTTTTTTTTTTTTTAGATACAGAGTCTCATTTTGCTGCCCTCAGTAGAGTGCCGTGGCGTCACAGCTCACAGCAACCTCCAGCTCTTGGAATAATTTCACTTCTAAAACTATAAAATGAGAGAATTTAATTTCTAAAATAATTTTCAGCCATGTATTTCTATATTATAGCAACTTCTATAACAAGTGACATCTACAAATCAAAATTTTTAAGGACACAAATAAATGAAAACATACAAAGCAGACCTCTTGATTACACAGCTTGGAAATTACCAGAATTTGGTTTTTTCTAATCTTCTGTTAATCCATGCCTGACGCCTTTAGAGGTAAGTGGAAGAACTTCAACAAAGAACACAAATACCTTAACTTGCTTTTCCTTCTTTTTGCGCACATCTTCCCATTCATTAACAATTCTTCCCCAAAGAATCCAAGAATCTTCTTCAAGGTGGCTGAGGTTGCTAGAGGCAGATGAACTTGATACAAGAGAGGAGCCACTGTTTCTTCTTGACCCATTGACAGATCTTAAAGATTTACTGTCCGTCTCTAACAATCTGAAACACAATTAGAAACTGCTCAAGATCTCATTTCACAGTGAGAAGAGATACAGCAGTGATTATACTTACAGCTTTCCTATTGCAATTTAACCATTGTTCTAAACTATAAGTTTTTGTTTTTTTCCTTTTTTCTGAGACAGAGTCTCAAGTCATTGCCCTGGGTAGGGTGCCATGGTGTCACCACTCACAGCAACCTCAGACTCTTGGGCTTAAGCGATTCTCTTGCCTCAGCTTCTCAAGTAGCTGGGACTACAAGCACCTGCCACAATGCCCAGCTTTTTTTGTTGTTGTTGCAGTTGTCATTGTTGTTTTTGCTGGCCCTGGCCAGTTCGGACCTGCCCTCCCCACTGAGCTACGGGCACTGCCTAAAATATAGTTTTAACAGTCTGCATAACTTCAATAATTTTGGGCTGGCATCAATAAAATAACTACCCTATTTTTTCACTTATGCCTAGCGTTCGAAACAGAAAATTATGTTAAATATTTTAATGCTACTAGCCCCATTATAATTTCCCTTTATCTCCATTAAAAATTCAAATTAGGGAAAATCTGATGAGAAAAGATGTTGGGTGGGCTCCCGGTACAAAGAATCTATATTTGGAAGAGGTATGACAAATTCTATGGAATAACTAATCTAAAGTCTACGACATATCCATGGCTTGCTACATAAAAAGTAAGGCAGAGTCACAGAAATTAACAAAATCCCTTCTCTTTTTTCATTTTGCTTTGTGAATGCATAACTAATTTCTCCGAACAAAAAGTGTTTTATTTAGCCCATGCAGTGTTTGCATAAAAAAACTGAGCTATGTTTGCTAGGCATGGTGGTACACACCTGTAGCGCCAGCTACCCAGGAGAAGTAGCTCAGGAGTTTGAGGTTGTATAGATCATGCCATTACACTCTAGCCCAGGCAACAGAGACCCTGTCTCAAAAACAAAAAAACTAAACTATTACTAAAATCAAAATTGGAAGATACCTATACCTTACCTTATTTATACCTAATACCTATACCTTATTTATAATTCTATATTCACTTGAAAAATAAAAAGATTAGGCAAAACTGGGCCCATATTCCTACACCATAAGACTAGGTAGGAATAAGACTAAGTAGCCGCTTCTTCCTTTACACAAGGAAGGAGTTTCATCTACTCGTTTCCACAATCCCTACTGTCTCCCCAAAACTCAGGCCAACTAACCACTGTATTAGTCTGGAACTGCTATTACTGGGCTGGCACTGTTAAGCTGGGAGCTCTTCACTGTTAAGGTCCCTGTTGAGGGATCCCTTTTGAGTGTGCAACCCTATTTCAGGCCTCTTCCTTAAGAGTAAAAAGACAGGTTAAGATAATTTCAAAGATCCAATCCACAACCTATCATGACATTAAATCTTTCATTCCTTTCACATATGTATAGGCTATAAAAGGAGGCTGGAAAGTGACTATCGCTATAAAGATGTAGATTATATGTCGTTCAAATAATAAGGGCCCTTAATTATGTTTGCGTAGTATTTAACACAGCCACTACTAACTTCCAGTAACCCCTTCAGAAAAAGTCATTTACTTTAGGATGCAACAAATATTCTCTAGACTAACTTATGAAATATAAAAACTGAGAAAGGAAATAAGCATATGAATCAAATCATATTCAGATTATAGAACCACCCTTTGAGAACCGGATTTATATCCTACTCATCTTTATATCTCCTAGAACAATTAGTTCAATGCAAGTACATTAACCACATATATTTACTGAACTGAAATAAAATCATTAAGTCCCACATTTTAAAAAGTCTTCCACATTCCACATGTTGTATTCAATCACATGATAGTACAAGCTAAACAAATTTTATCCCTAGTTAGGAAAAATTGAATGTATTTTCATGGTATAATAATTTAAATAAAGGGTGGTGCCTGTAGCTCAGTGGGTACAGCACAGGCCACATATATACCAAAGCTAGCAGGTTCGAACCCAGCGGGGGACAGCTAAAATCAGGACTACAGGCCTGTTGTGGTAGGTGCCTGCAGTCCCAGCTACTTGAGGCTGAGGAAAGAGAATCACATAAGCCCAAGAGTTTGAAGTTACTGCGAGCTGTGATGTCTACCGAGGGTGACATAGTGAGACTCAGTCTCAAAATAATAATAATTTAAATAAAATTTCCTAAATATTGCTAAAAATATTTACCAAACAACCAAAGTAAGTATAATTGCTATAATTTTCATTTAAAAAAAGAAAAGAATTAATGATGATGTTTTACTTTTACTTTAGATATTGGGTTTTCTTCATACAAATTATCTCAGTATGTCCATATCTTATGGAAAATAGTAATGTTTTTATATAAGTAATTTTATATATGATTCTAGATAGTAAGAATTCAAATGGAATAGAGAAACAAACTTTACTAAAATAACCTGAACCTAAATTCTCCTCTTCGCTTACTGAATGTTTGCTATGTGCTATACAATTAAACTATAACAATACCATCAACAGAGAGGCATGGACTTGAAAGAAAATAGTACTGCCTAAGTTAAATCTAAGATTGAGGTGTAATGAAAGTATAGACAAAGAAGTGCCTACACAGAGGCTTTGAGAGAGTCAGAAAGAAGTTAGATAGCTGAGTTGCAACTTTTAGGATAAACAAGAATGCCAAGTGAATTCATGGTAATAATAGTTTAGAGAAAGTTAAGCAGCTCACACCACAGAATCCTGAAATAGTACTATTACACAAAGCCATGAGAAACACAACTAAAATATTTCAAGATATCACATTATTTAAAGATACTATACCTGCCTTATCTCACATCATACATAAAAATGACTCAAGGCTGGGCACCATGGCTCACACCTATAACCCTAGCACTCTGGAAGGCCAAGGTAGGAAAATCGCTTGAGCTCTGGAGTTTGAGACCAGTCTGAGCAAGAAACAAACCCCAAATCTACAAAAAATAGAATACATTAGCCAGGTGTAGTGACACACACCGTAGTCCCAGCTACTCGCAAGACTGAGGCAGGAGGATTGCTTGAGCCAAGCCCAGAAGCCTGAGGTTGTAGTGAGCATTCTCACCCACATGACAAAGGGAGACCCTGTCTCCAAAAAATAATTTTTCACAGGCCCAGATTTGTTCATTCCCCAGAACAATGCTAGACTAAGACATCAGAGGTTGTATTTCTGTGAACTGGAGAATACACTCTCCTCAGTCTCCCAAATGGGCAACTCTTTAAGTTTCTCATCGAGTAGCTCCAGAGCCAAGGGCAGGCACTCAAAACAGCTGCAGTCATACATTAGCTGAGATGGGGGGAGCTGAAGCTACGTATCAGCTGGACTTCAAATAATATCGAAGATGGAGAGATCCTAGAATTGATTGCTACCAGAAGCTTTCTCCTTACTTGGTGGGGAGAAAGCCTTTCAGTTCCCTAAGAGGTGGGACTGAGAAGCTGAGAAGGAGAAAGTATTCCAGGCTCAGTGCCTGTGGCTCAAGCAGCTAAGGCGCCAGCCACATACACCTAAGGTGGTGGGTTCAAATCCAGCCCGGGCCTGCCAAATAACAATGACGGCTGCAACCAAAAAATAGCCAGGCATTGTGGCGGGCACCTGTGGTCCCAGCTACTTGGGAGGCTGAGGCAGGAGACTCGCTTGAGCCCAGGAGTTGGAGGTTGCTGTGAGCTGTGATGCCACAGCACTCTACCCGGGGAATAGCTTGAGGCTCTGTCTCAAAAAAAAAAAAAAAAAAAGAACTGAACCTTCTCACCAAGGAACCACCTAGCTAAGGAAAACAGCAGAGTACTTCATGATGGGATATGTAGAAAAAAGAGCAGCTTTATACAGCATCGTGCATGTGATAGACATAAAAGACAAAGCCTGTCTGTGTTAAATAACGGAGGAGAGGAAAGAGAAGAATGAGTTCTCTTTTGGGTACCTGGAGTGTAAAGGACTTAGGGAACATCCATGTAGATATTAACCACAGCAGCTGAAAGATGAATGTGAAGTTCATAGGGAGGTAAAGACTACAAACAGAGCTGCAAAATGTTCTTCTTAGCAAAGTATCACAGGAATGGAAGAAAAAGTATCCAATGTACACACACCTATTATGAAATTAATTTAAACCTTTTTATATGAAAGCTATAACCTAATAACCTAAGGATATGGGGAGAGGGGAGGGAAGGGGAGAGGGTGGAGGGAGAGGGATTCGAGGATTCACTTCTGTGGTTCATCTTGCAAGGGTACAGGTGAATCTTTCTGTGAGTAGAATATGAATGTTTTGACATAATAACTAAGAAGGTTACATGAGGGCTATGTTAACCAGTTTGATGGAAATGTCATGGATTGTGTGTGAAAACACCACACTGTACCCCCAAAGTGCATAAAAGTACACAGTTACCATTCAAAAAAAAAAAAAAAAAGACTACAAACAGAAAATTGGCAGTTATTTGCAAATAGCAGCTAATATACTTTTTGATGATCCTACTGTACTCAACATGTTTTCCTGTGGAGAAAAACACCCAGAAAGCTACCTACACTAGCACTTAGAAGGGAAAAGCCTTATTATACAAGGAGCCACTTTTTAAACATGCATGAACAAGATTCAAAAATCTCTGTAATATTCATACAGGATATGAATGTGCTATGAGAAAAATAGCAACCCGCCAACTAAAAGAAAGGAAAATGAGTAACAACAAACTCACTTTAAGAAACATCTTAAACCAGGCAATTTACAAACAACAGAAAATGTATTGCTCACAGTTCTAGAGGCTAGGAAGTTCCAAAGACTAGACATCCGCAGAATTGGTATCTGGCGAGGGCCCATTCCTCACAGATGATGCCTTCTGCGAGCCCTCACATGTCAGAAGGGACAAAAGGTCTCCCTCAAGCCTCTTTCATAAAGGCACTAATCTCATTCATAAGGTTGAAAACTCTCAAAGTTCATACCTCTTAATACATCAGGGATCAGATTTCAACACAAGAATTTTATAGCGAAACAAATATTCACACCATAGTAAAATGAC